GCGACCCTAGAGGGATGATGGGCTGAGTCAAGCCCGTAGCCAGAAATGGACCTCGCAAATGAGCCCGCTCCCTCTACCCCACTGAGCCAATTGTCCGTTTTATTTATAAATAAGTCAATACGTACAAATAAATAAGACAGAATAATGTTTTTTTTTACTGTTTTGTCAAACAAACTCTGGATATATACAAGCTATATTGTCAATTAATAACAAGGCATTCACGTAAACAACCAGTGGTCATCCCTGGGACATTTTATAGACACAATATAAACCGCATGGTTGTGTTCTGAGGCTTCCTGCAAATAACTTTTTTTTCCAGACCCGTCTTGTATTCCCATAATTTAAATGCAGCAGCCACCTCTGTTTGACACTCGGACACACAACTGTTTCCCTCAAAATTTCATATTTTTTTTTACTCACGCAGTATCTTCACCTGAACTAATATTCAGCCTCCTTTTGCATTTGGAGTGACGCAAAGCCTCTGCCGTCAAACATTTCAAGCATCAATTTATCCCTGTAATTGGCAGAGATTGTATTGACAACATTGGGCACGATTTGCAATAATTTTCAAATTTACACATTATCCCTTCAGAGATAATGCGTTGTGTGCAAATTGTAATGAATGTGAATTTACTGACAATATAATTATTCATGAATTTATTTTTCTCTCCTTCGTATTCTACTCAGGGTCTGATTTTTACATTCAATTCGGTAAAGATGTGTGCCGCGCCACAACTTAATCTGAGCTGAAATATTTTTTTCAAGGATAACACCGAGGGCTTTCCCCTCCCTCCCCAACGCCCATCGATGCATAATAGCAGGCTGTGCTGTTCATAGCTATATGTTTAACAAGTGACGCTCACCACACTCATCAAAGCAGAATAATCATAAAGACCGTCTGTCGCCTTTACAGCCTCACATTTGAAGGGTTTCTTGCATTGTTCGGGAAGACTTTATCTCAACAGCTTTTTCGGAGAGCAGCTCCATGGACAGAATAAGTTACTGGGTTAACCTGAAGCCTTATTGCAGAGACATGAGGTGTCGTGCATTGACTGTAATTTAGGGCTTACTCATCCTGGCTGGTTGAGGTTTTTTCTATCTTTGTGCCTCCACAAAGAGAAAATGTGATCGTTTTGAACCAGTTTTAGTCCAGTTGAGGACGTGTGAATCGCTTTCCTGTTGATTCTGCACATTTCAAGTTGCTCACCGTTCGAATTGCCTTTCCTATAATACGTGGATGTATACCATTCATGATGAGCTAGGAAGGATACTGTTGCTGCTGTGTAATGGTTGGTATACTCGACTTCCAATCCCAGCGGTCACCAGTTCGCTTTTTTAGAGCGGCAGTTGAAACAATGATGCAAGTTTGTTAAATATCCCCGCCTCTGTCCACCCGTCGATATCAACAGATACACCGCAGTTAATCGATTGGCACCTTTCGAGTGATTGTGGTAAAGTGTGGCTACTCCTACCTATTTCTAAGACATCTGACCAGCGTGGCTAGAATGTCACAATGCTCTTATATCCCATCTGAAGGCCCTCGAGCCTCATCTAGCGGAGGTCCTTCTGCCAGCATTTTACATTTACCTCGTATTTGATGACTGCGTGCTCACTCTCCAAATTGCCATGTCAAAAATATTTGGAGTTATATTATTGGCATACAAAAATTCATTAATACTTCTTAAATATGGTGAAACAGTATGCTTAAAGCAATGTAGATGCATTGCATTTTAATTTTTAAATTCAGCATTTTTAACAGTGATTTTTTTGTGCCAAGCTAACGCTATCTCGAATGAAATTAATGTATTTCTTGTTATCTAATTTTAACAGGACGTTTTTTTTGTAAATACAAAATGGTGCCAAACATAGTAAATTGCAATGTGGAAACACACATGTTATAGAATAGACATTGCCTGTTTTAAAATCAGACCCCCAACAGTGTTATAATCATCACAGGGAAATTGCAGCAGTGCAGTAAACAAGCATGTCTGTTTGGCTTGCTCATTTCTATCTACACAACACCAGGAGGCAATCCGCAGTCCCTCTGGATCCTAATTGAGGGCATGGCTCATTGAGAGCCCTGTGCCACCCGCAAAATAAGACAATCGATTTGTATCTTCAAATACATATTTGGCCATTGTGCAATCTGCGCCGGACCTTTGCATAGCACAGCCTTCCTTGAGCAGCTCGCTGGCTGCCTCATTGATGGCTCCTCTCATCTCCATCATCACGTGATATTTACCGACCCTCGCTGAGCACTCATTGTTGTTGGAAATATCTGCGTGGCTGATAAACCGCGTTATTGATTTTTTTTTTATGTTTCAGTCAAGGCTTTCAATTTTAGCAGTTGTTGCTCATGATGCAGCCTAATGCTGCATGAAGTAATAATTGTAAATGACATAAGTGAAGCATGTCATAGCTGTGTGCGTGAGCGTATTATGTCTTCTTAAAAATATCTCTCTCTATATTCAAGATGAGACGAGTACAACTGCGGTATTTTTATCGTGGTTACGCTTGATGTGTCGCTGTGGTGTATTTCAGGGTTGTCCTGATTGTTGTAGGGAACGATGTCCAACGTTTCGCTTCACGTGCTTGGAGGAAATTCAGTTTCTGAAGCTTCGGTTCCTGAAGAAGCTCTCGGTATGTGGAGCGAAACGTCGGAGAGTGTGTCCAACAGAACATGGTATAATATGAAAATGCATCGGAGAGGTAACTATTGAGAACATTGCCGACAAGTGTTGTCTGTACGTTTGCACCACTATGAGTTTTTAAATATTTAAAATAATGTATTACTCAAACAAAAAAAAATATAAAAGTAACTCAAGAACGAGTGCCATTTAAAAAGTATGTTCAACAATGCACGCGTTTATAACGGCCCTTCTATGTTGCTATTTCTCAGAAGGAGGAGGCAAAATTATTGTCAGATGTTTGTTCATGGAAACATGAAAAACCCATTAAACACACCCAGGCAATAAAGCACAGTAATGAGGTCATTTATTTTGAAAGCCATTGGCATGTCTCTACTGAGCAATGTATTGACTATTTTTGACTAATGGGCACAGAGCAACTGTGTCCGAATGTCCTATGCCCTAGTTGACTTCAATGTGAGTCTCGTCCCTTTCATTTTACCTTAGTCAGACTCTGGCGATTTGATTTAACAACTCTATCATATAAGTCACTGCCCTAGAAATATAAAACCCAGGTTAGCGTGAGTCAGTGGCAATAAAAGGGGCTTGAGAAGGAAAGTAATGGATTTTCTCTTCTTGGTAGAAGACAAAAATAATATTTTTTGTAGCCTTGAAATCTTCGGATTGTCTGCATATTATTAGTGTGCCCCGGGCACCTGCAGTCTGGATCAATTAATTAAAAAGTCGCCAGGTTGTAAATCACGCGCTACAATCTATACGTACGTTGAACAAGATAACCCCCCTTCAACGGCGCCGCACTTAAAGGAAATGGATCGCTATATTGATGTACAAACGAGTCGCGTCTGGGGCGCTAACCTGCTAGCAGCACAAAGAGCTCTGGGTGATTTCCACAACGATCCTCTGGCATTCTGCAGGGACTAGAAGCGATCATCCATGTACAACCATTTCTGTCCGCCGAGAAATACATTTTTACATCTCGCCAGTCGTGCACAGCACTCGTGATGTCCTGGCCCTTACGCAACGTCACAATTGACGAAAGCGACCAAGCGTGACTGTTAGGCTGGTTGGGCTCAGAGGAGGAGCGGTGACGCAGGGGTTGCCTTGCAGCGCTGTTGACCCGGCGAACTGAGTTTGGTACCCGGCTGTGGTTCGTAAAATGTGCCAGCAAGTGATCTATGCCTTCACTACCACCGCCATCAGCACCATCACCGCGGTGTGCTGGCCAGTGGTCAGCGTGGCAATGAACCATCGGATACTCCCCACGAGCGATCCAGTCGTTGACTGAGAACCGGGTTCAACATTATATTATAAAGTCCATCAAAGCGAAGTCTTTTTTTATTTCCAATCTGTCTAATTAATCCCCCCCCAACCCCACAGTCTGGTTATTTTGTCAAAGAGCATTGTGGCACGTGTGTGTTTTTCTTGTGTGTGTTTTTCTTGTGTGTGTTCTTCTTGTGTGTGTGTTCTCCTCGTGTGTGTGTTCTACTCGTGTGTGTGTGTGTGTGGTCTCCTCGTGTGTGTGTTCTCCTTGTGTGTGTGTGTTCTCCTCGTGTGTTCAACTTGTTTTCCGCTCCCAACCACCACCCCTGTAAAATCGTGAGAGCAGGGAGAGAAGGAACCCAGAGAGACGTGGGTGAGATTTGAATTGAAAGCAAACCCCGTGGATAGAAACCCCGTGGATACAAACCGCGTGTGGATAGTAACTGCGTGGATAGAAACCGCGTGGATAGAAACTGTGTGGGTAGACACTGCGTGGATAGAAACCCCGTGGAAAGAAACCCCGTGGATAGAAACCCCGTGGATAGAAACCCCGTAGATAGAAACCCCGTGGATAGAAACCCCGTAGATAGAAACCGCGTGGATAGAAACCCCGTGGATAGAAACTGCGTGGATAGAAACCCCGTGGATAGAAACTGCGTGGATAAAAACCACGTGGATAGAAACCCTGTGGATAGAAACCGCGTGGATAGAAACCCTGTGGATAGAAACTGCGTGGATAGAAACCCCGTGGATAGAAACCCCGTGGATAGAAACCCCGTGGGTATAAACTGCGTGGGTAGAAACCGCGTGGATAAAAATGCCGTGGATAGAAACCCCGTGAATACAAACCCCGTGGATAGAAACCCTATGGATAGAAACCGCGTGGGCAGAACCCCCGTGGGAAGAAACCGTGTAGGTAGAAACCGCGTGGATAGAAACCCCGTGGGTATAAACTGCGTGGGTAGAAACCGCGTGGATAAAAATGCCGTGGGTAGAAACCGCATGGATAGAAACCGCGTAGGTAGAAACCCCGTGGGAAGAAACCGCGTGGGTAGAAACCGCGTGGATAGAAACCCCGTGGGTAGAACCCCCATGGGTAGAAACCCTGTGGGTATGAACCGCGTGGGTAGAAACCCCGTGGGTATAAACCGCATGGGTAAAAACCTTGTGGGTAGAAACCGCGTGGGGAGAAACCGCGTAGGTAGAAACCCCGTGGGAAGAAACCGCGTGGGTAGAAACTGCGTGGATAGAAACCCCGTGGGTAGAAACCCCATGGGTAGAAACCCTGTGGGTATGAACCGCGTGGGTAGAAACCCCGTGGGTATAAACCGCATGGGTAAAAACCCTGTGGGTAGAAACCGCGTGGGGAGAAACCGCGTGGGTAGAAACCGCGTGGGTAGAGACCCCGTGGATAGAAACCCCGTGGATAGAAACCCCATGGATACACACCGCGTGGATAGAAACAGCGTGGATAGAAACCCTGTGGATGCAAACCCCGTGGATGGAAACCACATGGGTAGAAACCCCGTGGGAAGAAACCACGTGGATAGAAACCACGTGGGTAGAAACCGCGTGGGTAGAGACCGCTTGGATAGAAACCCCGTGGATAGAAACCCCGTGGATAGAAACCCCGTGGATAGAAACCGCGTGGATAGAAACCCCGTGGATAGAAACCCCGTGGATACAAACCACGTGGATACAAACAGCGTGGATAGAAACCCCGTGGATACAAACAGCGTGGATAGAAACAGCGTGGATTGAAACCCCGTGGATACAAACCCCGTGGATGGAAACCACGTGGGTAGAAACCCCGTGGATACAAACCACGTGGGTAGAAACCCCGTGGGAAGAAACCGCGTGGATAGAAACCGCGTGGATAGAAACCGCGTGGGTAGAAACCGCGTGGGTAGAAACCGCGTGGGTAGAAACCGTGTGGATAGAAACCCCGTGGATACTGACCCCGTGGATAGAAAACCGCATAGATAGAGACACCTGTGGATAGAAACCCCGTGGATAGAAACCGCGCGGATAAAAACCCCGTGGGTAGGAAACCGCGTGGGTAAAACCGCGTGGGTAGAAACCCCGTGGGTAGAAACCCCGGTAGATACCAGACCCCGTGGATAGAGACACCGTGAGATAGAAACCGCGTGGATTGAAACCCGTAGATAGAAACCCCGTGGATAAAAACGCGTGGATAGAAACCCCGTAGATAGAAAACCGCGTGGATATAGAAAACCCGTGGATAGAAACCTGCATGGATAGAAACCCCCGTGGATAGAACCCCGTGGATAGAAACTGCGTGGATAGAAACCCCGTGGATAGAAACCGCGTGGTAGAAACCGCGTGGATAGAAACCCCGTGGATAGAAACCCGTGGATAGAAACTGAGGTGGATAGAAACCGCGTGGATAGAAACCGCATCGGATAGAAACCGCGTGGGGCAGAACCCCCGTGGAAGAAACCGTGTAGGTTAGAAACCGCGTGGATAGGAAACCCCGTGGGTAATAAACTGCGTGGGGGTAGAAACCGCGTGGATAAAAATGCCGTGGGTAGAAACCCCGTGGATACAAACCCCGTGGATACAAACCGCGTAGGTAGAGAAACCCCGTGGGAATAAGACCGCGTGGGTAGAAACCGCGTGGATAGAAACACCTTGGGTAGAGACCCCATGGGTAGAAACCTGTGGGTATGAACCGCGTGGGTAAAACCCCGTGGGTAGAAACCGCGTGGGGAGAAAACCGCGTGGGTAGAAACCGCGTGGGTAGAGACCCCTTGGATAGAGACCCCGTGGATAGAAACCCCATTGGATACACACCGCGTGGATAGAAACAGCGTGGATCGAACCCGTGCATTACAAAACCCCCCGTGGATAAAAACCACATGGGTAGAAACCCCGTGGGAAGAAACCAACGTGGGTAGAAACCACGTGGGTAGAAACCCCGTGGATAGAAACCCTGTGGATAGAAACCGCGTGGATGGAAACCCCGTGGATAGAAACCACGTGGATACAAACCACGTGGATACAAACAGCGTGGATTGAAACCCCGTGGATACAAACCCCGTGGATGGAAACCACGTGGGTAGAAACCCCGTGGGAAGAACCCACGTGGGTAGAAACCGCGTGGGTAGAAACCGCGTGGGTAGAAACCGCGTGGGTAGAAACCGCGTGGGTAGAAACTGCGTGGATAGAAACCGCATAGATAGAGACCCCGTAGATAGAAACCGCGTGGATAGAAACCGCGTGGGTAGAAACCGCGTGGGTAGAAACTGCGTGGATAGAAACCGCATAGATAGAGACCCCGTAGATAGAAACCGCGTGGATAGAAACCGCCTGGATAGAAACCGCGTGGATTAAAACCCCGTGGATAGAAACCGCGTGGGTAGAAACCCCGTGGGTAGAAACCCCGTGGGTAGAAACCCCGTGGGTAGAAACCCTGTGGATAGAAACCCCGTAGATACAGACCCCGTGGATAGAAACCACGTGGATAGAGACCCCGTGGATAGAAACCGCGTGAATTGAAACCCCGTGGATAGAAACCGAGTGGATAGAAACCCTGTGGATAGGAACCCCGTGGATACAAACCGCGGCAGCACCGCTGTGAAGGTGAGCCGCTTTTGTCAATGTAACAAACCTTGTGTGTGTGTGTGTAGTAACAAACCTTGTGTGTGTGCAGTAACAAACCTTGCGTGTGTATAGTAACAAACCTTGCGTGTGTGTAGTAACAACCCATGTTCATCGGGAAGCAGCCAAACGCCACTGGGAACGCGGAGCCTCGGAGCAATGAGGGGGCGTCCGTGTCTCGAATCAAATGAAGACGGCACCGGGAGGAGTTTGGGCTTCGACAATAGCAGCATATTGACTAAAATAAGCAGTGATTAATGTGCTCTGTCACACTCGGCAGCTTATGCAATTCTAAGACCCCCCCCCCTGCTTCTAATCTCCCCCCCCCAACTCTCCTTCTCTCCTTCTTTGTTTCACCTCGTTCGGCTGCGTTAGAAGCGTGATTGTCAGCATGTCCCTTCACCAATATCGCATGCAAACATCTGTCAGCATCACAGAGACTGTTGTATTTTTCTTGAAGGACAGTTGTGGTTCCTCAAATCGCTTCGTGTAGTGCGGCGTCTGAGTTTTGCTTGTTTTGCCTTTTAATACCGTTCCTGATGTTACATTGTGAGAAAAACTCACTTTCAAACAACACTAGCACTCGTCTTTGCTTTGGTTTAGTAAAAAGACTCGTACACGTGCAGTCGGAAATACGAAGGTTCAATCTCTTTACCTCCACAGTACTTCTTCGGTTTTCAAGCAATAATATCTAAAATTGTATTTAATGTTTGTTAACTTGTGTTAATTAAGGATACTTCCAAAGGACTGCAGCAGCAGCGGTTTCTGCTTCGTACGTTCGTGCTAAATGGCTTCTACTTTGTACAGTGATTACATTTTATAGGACTGTATTTAACTTTCTGAAGCTGCACTTTTGTAGCACCTCCGATGTCCAAGCTTGGCTACATACGGTGCGAAGGAATTTCAACATAAATGCTTACTCTGCTGGAAGTGCCGTGAACTTGATTCTAAAGAACAAGTTCAGAAATGTCATGCTTATCATGCACATTGCAACGCTTTCCGACAGGTGGTTACCCTCGGGAGTATTGCATTAGCAGTCGAGAAGACGGTGGGTAAGACTCATTTGCATGTTTTAAAATAAATTATTTTTACTCTGATTTGTGTACCTCAGAGCTATGAGAAACCCCTTGATCCGTGTTGCCGCTTTTCAATAGGTCCCGATTAGGAACGCAACTTTATACGGACATTACGTTCATACTGTATCACCTTTACCAGCGTTATTACTATGCCTCCCTAATTACAAACATAGGGACGGAACGGAGCTAATGCATACATAACCTTAAACTCTTAGTAGGAGTGTTAATAATGTCACAGGTGCCTTTTTGGTTTATTTCCCAATAAACAATGCAGTTTCTTATATCCCTCTTGCATTTAAACACATTTAACCACATTTTCCCCACGATGCTTATATTTTGTTTAGAAATTTGACCAAAACCAAATCACCCTGAATTTGCCTAAATTCGTGAGATCTCAGAAGTTAAGCAGATATACGGCTGGATAGTGCTTGGATGAGTGACCACAATGCATATAACAGGTTGACATGGGTTCTAGATTTAAAGCTTTCGTGACTGCAAGGATCCATACTCTTTGGTTCTGTTCGGTAAAGTCACGTGACTTAACCGAATAGAACCAAAGAGTAAGGTTGACATGGGGTTTGTGGGGCTATGTGGTGGACAGCAGAAGGTTGTGTGGCCAAATCCATCGTTGTACTATACTTCTATGTGTTCACGTCTATGCCTCCCCACCTGCACCAACCAGTGCACTGAAGTTTATTCGAATAGCCCCCATGAGGTGCACGGTGGGCGGAGGCCGTCATCCAACAGTGCAATTGAAATCAAACGCTGAACATGCCCTGATGGTAAAGCCATGATACAGCATTCTTGACAATTTTATTTTTTAAAGAAACTAAAAATCAAAATCTCAGTTGTGGCTAAGGCGATCTGCGACTCTACATGAAACAAATGCCATGTAACTGAGATGACGAGAGACGGCTACATGTATCCGCCTCGCGCAGAGCGTTTGAGCCTGCACCCTGGCGGGATGACCTTGAACGCTACGTGTCGTTGCAACCTACTGAGCTGATGCACTCCAAAGAAATTCAATTCAGAGTCACTTTTTTTTCCGTGGTTGAAAAGAAAATTATCCAGGGAATGACATTGTTTTATAGCTTGAGTAATACACACCGGGGGTCTCTCCCCCTCCCTTCGTCCCTCGGCTTCCACTCCCTGAAGCAAGTCTGGCCATGCGCAGCAGTGTTTTTAACTCATCTTCCTCCAACACATTCACAGCTAAGCCTCCCCCCCCCATTCATCTCTCTTCCCCAGCTCACACAGCCTTTTGCATACCATATTATCTAGATTATAGGACGCTCTATAAAGTAAGACGCACTCCAAGCTTGTAGCCTGCTTGTCAATTGATACAAATGTGGTCTCACGCATGCTCACATACTCACACACCGACTGAATTAGACAATACGCCCGCACCTTTTCCTTTAAAATACAGGGGCGAAAAGAGGGGCATCAGAATTAAAAAAATACGGTCAGCATTCCATGTCACTGAGAACCAGGGGACGCAGTTCCTGGAGGCCTGGGGCAGAATGCTCCACGGGGCCACGTTTATTTTCCTTCCAACAACCACAGGGCCCCCAGATCCATTGATGGAGGCAAATTTGCCCCTAGAGCCCCCACCCCGCCCATCCTCTCTGGCTGCTGGTTGGCCCTGCTGTAGACCAGATTGAATGTCAAGTTGCGCCCATAACAAAATCGTCGTGGCATTGCATATTAATAACCAGGGCGATGCGCACGCGAGTGAGGGCTGCTGCGGGTGAGCGATAAGTGGACAGGACCGTGAGCTGACGATCGGCAGCTGAATTGACCCCATCTGTGTCGCCTCGCGACACGCGGAGTGCAGGGCCGTCGTGCGCGCGGGTCGTTGTGTGGATTGTGTTCGCGCATCGATTTTCTTAGAAAACCATTATGACATTTTTATGATCACCACGCTTCTGCCTCTTCTGTAAACATCAATGGTTTTTTTTTGTTGTTGTTGCGTGCTGACGTCAAGTGACATCAAACACATTGTGGGAATAATTTTTTTAATGCACTCGTCATAATGCTCCTCACGTCGACAAAATTTGAGAGCAG